TATGTTATTATTTTTATTCTTCAAAGTGCACATAAAATTGTCTTTTTCTAATATCTAGGAGTTTGACTGAATCATTAGCATAAATTTAATCCTAATTGTAAGAGTATTTGTAACTGAAGAATGATTATATAAGATTTTCTATACATATTTTTAACGAGATATTCAGTGAAATTATATATGCTTTGCGTCAATTAAATAATATGTTTGAGTTATTGAAATCAAGCAATAATGAAATCCAGGTGTTACTGTTTTGTCTTGAGTTACATAGAATCAGTTGAACATAAAATCGCCATTGTATTTGGAAGATGACGGGTATGAGAATTATAGTAACAGTGGAGTAATTGATAAACACATTGACATTCTGTTTGTGATGATTTTTTATTTAGTCTTAACTTGACTTTATGAAGAGGCATAATGCTGGAAATGAGACATATATATATATATATATATATATATATATATATATATATATATATATATATATATATATATATTATATGAATTCTTTTAAAATGAAATCCAAATAACAAGGTTTTAATTGCATTGGCATTCATGAGTATTGTTATCAGATATCTAAAATTTGTATTAATGATTTTTTTATGTAAAAATATCAAGATTTACCCCTTAAACTGCAACATGCCTCATGAGAAGCAGCTTTGGCAACCTTTTGAGGTACTTTTAGTGAGAGACTGACTTTTGAATGTGGCGCATATTGGGAATATTTACCTTGAATTGATGCGTCTTCTAGAGTCACCCATCACCCTTTCTGCTACCTCCTCTGTGTTTAGCTTTAGAACATTTTGCCACATAAATGCCCATTTTCTATTTTTTTTCACCAGGCTAATGAGGAAACCAAGATAACTTTGAAATGTTCTTCCTTGGTAATTTGTAGGCATTTCAGAATATATTCTCTGCATGTTGAGAAGAACCAGGTTTTGAAATTCATAACTCAGTTATTTTAATTTATTTTTTTGATACCTCTGGTAGGGTTGATGTTCAACTAACCATTTGCAGTTTAGGGGTTAAACATGTTTCTATTGTTAAGATATGAAGAAAGAGGTTTATTTCAGTTTATTTATATTTTTCTCTCGCATTTTGAATAGTACTCCAGCACAAGTTATTTCAGTAAGTCAGTATTTATTTAATTGTATGCAAAGACTAAATAGCTTAATACTCTTATAAGAATGTCTTAAAAAACACAAAACCAAAGTTTGGCTCTCCAGTCTCAGTCCTCTTAGATTATCGAAATCTAGTGGTATTCAATCCACTGGCATAGTTTGCAAGATTTCAAACTTGGTAATAGCTGGACTGCCAAGTACAGAAACCAGGAAAGGATTTGACAGTGACTTAACCTGGATCCCTAGGTGAGGATTTTGTCCTTGAAAGATGGGTTATAGCAAGCAAGCAAGTGCAAAGAACAAGCAAGGGTAGCCAGGTCACAGGTGGAAAATATTAGTAGCAAAGAGGTGCTTCGAAAATGATCTAAAAATCAATATATTTTGCCTTTTTAAAGAGAGCGTAGAACTAATGTGTAAATTGTGATTGTATGTTTGCTATCTTCTCTTTTTTATTATTATTATTTAAAGATGTAGTTGTAAAATTGCATTTATTTGAATCTTAAAAGTAATATTGCATTTATGGGTTTACCACTGAATAACAGTAGGAGCAATTCTGAAATTAGGTTGTTAATTAATTGGCTATTGGACTTTGTCTCATTTGAGTGTCATTGAGTTGATAGATTTAATACTTGTAATGTATGCCAAGTATTGTAGATCAAAACTAATATGACAAGCATTTTCTTGTCTTCAGCATGCTACAGCAATCACCTGGCCAAGATCTGAAGATTCTGAACCAAATTTTGCTTTGGTCAGTGATTCAGGGAGATTGGTTAGTCGTAGCTAGCATTGACATTTTTGTAATTTTTTATACATACAGCATTTGTAAATAAAATCATAAATTATAAACAGCAATGCTTCTCAAGTTCAATACTCCAGTAACATGTAATCACCAATGGTCCAGCAGTCATTCTACAGACTTTCACTTTGATGGTTCTAGAGAGTATATATGAAGATATGATGGCCAATGAGTTTTTTAAGGTGTAAGAAAGGGAGAGAGAGATAGGGATGTAGTGAAGGCTCATTTTAGGATGACTGCTCAACTCCAGCACAACCAGTTGCTGGTGGGTGTGTGGATGTCCCTTGCACTGTCTATTGCAGAGGGACACACATACCACTGCAGCACAACCCATTGCTGGTAGTCACACAGACTACTCCAGCACAACCATGTACCTGATTGTCTAAAGCAGTCTACCATATGTGCAAGAAATAAACACAACAGACAGCCACTTGTGTTTGATGTAACCTTTTAAATCTAAATAAATAACTCTGTTGCTTAGTCATTCAGCAATTTGAAAATTAAATAAACATTTTGAGAACTGACAATGTATAAAGCTTTGCAGTAAGTCTGATTAGTTCTCTAAAATCCAGAGATGTATATTCAGCTTGGAATATTCATGATATAAATGTCTGCAAGAATTATACTGTTATGTAACGAGTTCACAGTTGCTTAAACTGCAGTACTCTGGAATGTATTAGAATAGTCGTTTTTAAACATCGGTAAATAAAAACTAAGCATCAAAGGAATCCATCATGAAAAAAGGTTAGGAAATGGGATTCAGTATTTACAAGTAATGAATTAACATTTTTATTCACACTGAAATACTGAGCACAAATTTTCTGCTTTCTAGAGAATGTTGAATGGGAGTTTACAGAAAGAAGCATGTGCCCTGTTTTATTTTTTTTCTACATAAGCACCTAAAGTGTTTCAATTAATAATATTCTACCAATATCTCCCATTTCAAATTAAACTAAATGGGTTAAAATCTTGTTGTCAAAAGCAATATTAATAAGTAGTTTGTAATATAAAGAATGGTTCTAGGTGTACAGCAGAGCAAAGAAATGTGCATCTTTAATTCTTTAATAGCAGTGAAAATTTATAATTATTAACTATTGGAAGGAGGACTACATGTTATATCTTGAATTTTTGGTTGCACTGATAAAATCTAAGAATGTCAGTGAATCTCCCTGGTTTGCATATATTCTGAGATTAATGAAAACTAATGTATGTTGAAAAGCAAGCAAAACCTTTAAGAATGATTATCAGATAACCATAACTCAAGATAGAGAAACACAGTAAAATAAAGCAAAGAAAGAGGATGAGATGAGAGAGGTTACAACGAAAATCACTAAAATGACTAAGAGAGAACAGATAATCAGAGAAAAATATTAAGTAGAAAACTAAATTGGATTTGCTGCAAGAAAACTTTTTGATTCACGTCATTACAGGCTTATACATCAAGACTGAGTTTTCATTAGTCAAATGTCCATCAGGTAAGTTGGAAATTATCCCTGTGGGAGAGGAGGCAGAGACTGAGGCCCAATGTAGGAATCTAGCTTGCCTTGGATTTCAGCCCTTGCCTTGACTAATTTTGTGGGGTCTTTTCCTTCTCTTCCTCATCCCCTTCTTCTGTGCACTTATCCACATCATTAATGCATATTTACCCTTTTCACCACAATACTTTACCATATTGCCGTGTGACCTTTAATGTCTGGTACATTTGTTTGTTATGACCCTTAACCATTCTGGGAATCCACATACATTACCTTACCGAACCAAAAAACTTTCTTACCTGGGGGTTTTACCCCAAGCCCCAACCTATCACTATATTTTTTGTACATGGCTAATGACCTTGGATGTTGACATGGCAGAAAATAAATAAATAAAATATCCCTGTATATCTTCTTCATTAACCTATTAGATCCAGGCATTAACCCATTGCCACCGTGGAAAATGAACAAAAAATGGGGAAAATGCTGTGCCTATTTTCTATACTTTTTTGTTAAATGTCTGCCCATAGATGGCTCTGTTAGCGCCTGATTTGAATTGGCAGGAAAAACATAATTTTTACTAGTGCCATGAATATCGATGGTGTTATTTTTATTATAAACATTATAATTTTTATATTTTTTAACTTTAGTAACAGCAAAATAAGATAACGTAAAATATTTCGGAAATCAAAGAGAAGGGTGAATGGGCAGTACTCGTAACTGGCTCATTGGTGACTTATACAAGTGTAGCCATCTATGTGTAAAAACAATCCAACAAGTAATCTCACAGTGGGCATGGCATGGCATGCCTGGCGGGAATGGGTTAAGCTTCATTGAGTGGTGACTCCCCCGGGTGCGTGGCTTGTAGGCCCAGCCCACAAGAATACTAGCGTGTGGTGTTACGACTCATTACCTCCCCTTTGTCGTTATCTCTTTTTCTCCATAAGAATTCTTTGCTCTTTTGCTATTTTTCCATTGTTTATATTTATCAATTAATATCCCATATCAAGGTGGTAATAGATTGTTTTCCATATCATCTGTCAAGGAAATCATAACTGTGCCAGAACAAGTAACATTGTTATTTGGATTTTTTTTAGGGGGGGAGGGATAAAAAATAAAATAAAATAAAATCTGTATTACACTGCGTGCCACCAGACATGGTGGCCAGGAATAGGATCTTGGGCATAGAAATAATGTCCTCCCAGGAGCTGGCACTCTTCCAGTCATGGTGTTTACTGATGGAAATAATGTGAGCCCTTTCAAAATGCCCACTGAGTCTAGTCACTCTCCAAGAGTGCACTCGTGGCAAGTCGTATCCCTTCCCTTCAGCATTTTCCCATTACCCAGGCCCTCAGCCAAATTTTTTCTAAGACACCATGTTCACATCACCCAAGCCAATTTTTTTCATGATATGATGGTCATGTAATCTGGATCCAAGGAGTTAACTTTGTGCAATGCCAGCTGTGACTATAAAAAACTTGGCTTGATTTATGGATGCCCACTATACCAGGTGTTATTTAAGTCTGTTGTATTGGATGATTCAGGTCCTCTTTAAAAACAAATGAAATGGGGGAGAAAAGAAAGGAAAAAATGGAGAAGGAAAGTGCATTTCTTGGATAAGATAGTTTTTATTGAACTGTGTATATTACTTTGTAGACAGTGCTAACACATATTTCTTTGCATACATTTCATCATGGTATTAGGTTAAGAAACAATTAATTAATAAATATTAGTGTGGACTGACTTTTCTACAAAGCTTTACTAGTTGAGATCCATGCCTCCTTAACTGCCTCATACATATGTACCCACATGTACTAAATGCACTACATACATAGTATGCTAATATTACTTATACTGGTGGATATATAACAATACCAGTATACATTATACATTAGAATTTGCCTCTGTGTATGATATAATATATCTATATATTAATCTATCTAGCTATCTATCACATATATATATATGTATATATTTATATATACATAGTAGTACACATTAACACAATATTTCTTAATTAGAAAAAAATATATAAATATTCCTTTACTGAGAATGAAGTTATATTTATTTACTGCTGCCAACTGGTAATTGAGCATAGAAGTTCTTATCAGATAGTTGTAAGATCGTTCTCTTGTAGAGGTAATAATGGATTCCACCGGCTGTAGAGAGAGAGAGAGAAAAAAAAAAAATAAATAAATAAATAAATAAATAAAATACTACTACTACTACTACTACTACTACTACTACTACTACTACTACTACTACTAAATAAAAATGAAACATATTGATAGGCTTTCTTTAACAGTATAAAAGATTAGTTACACCAAGAATGATAATCAGTATTTCAACAAACTATAATATGGTCAAGTTATATTACACATGAAATGTATAATTACCCACCAACTCGCTGAACCGTGAAGAGAGCAACCATTCCATGAGCCCAGATGTATTTCTCCGGTTCCTGCCATTGCTGCTTGAGGGACCACGAGTGGAAACCCAAGGAGAGACCAAGGTACAGTACGGCTGCTATGATACACCAGCGAAACTTTTGAAAGAGTTCGCCGATAAGACCAGCCTGTCGGGAGGAAGGCATCTGATTAATTTCCCGTTCCTTTCTGCTTTATCTTTACTATTATGTCTTACCAATGTAGATCCTTTCGAAAGGTGTGTATGTGCGTGTGTGTTTTTTTCCAATATATTTACCATCGTATAGGAAAAGAATGAAAGAAAAGCATGTTAAACCCAATGCTGCTGGGGAAAATGAATAAAAAATGGGGAAAATGCTGTGCTCATTTTCTATAGTTTTTGAGAAATATCTCAGCACATAGATGGCTCTGCTATTGCTTAGCCACAAAGGAGTCAATTAGCAGACCTTATGACTGTACCAGATTAATTGGCGGGAAACACATCTTTTTTACTAGTGCTATGAATATCGATGGTGTTATTTTTATTATAAACGTAATTACTATAATGTTATTAACATTAGTAACAGCAAAATAAGATACTGTAAAAATATTTTCGTAAATCAAAGAAAAGGGTAAACAGGCAAGACAGGCAGTCCTAACTGGCTCATTGGTGACCTGGTACAAGTGTAGCCATCTATGTGTAAAAGCAATTAAAAAAGTAACTCACAGTGGGTATAGCATGTACGTAAACGTCATACCAGTCGTCACTGGGTTAAAAGACTATTGTTGATTTTACTTATTACAAGTAAAACAGTAAAAATTACAATAGAAAAGTATTACTCCAAAAATTCCTAGAATACTAACCTGAGAGAGAGTGGTTGAAAACAGGGCCAGGAAGAGCAGAATGAGGGAAAAAACAAGGCACACATCCTGGATTCTAGAGAAGAAGATATTATTAAAAAAAAAATAATAATAATAATAACTATGTATACATTATTTTTAGTTTTAGTTTTTACTTTTTATTTATCACCTCTTACAATTAATTTCTTAATCTACCTACCTACATCTATATCTGTATCTATGTATATCTATCTAACAAAAGCTATTTAACTACCTTTATCTATATCTATCTACTTTCATCTATAACTGTCTACATAGTTATATCCATATCTATATCTATATATCTACCAACTTTTATCTGTATCTTACTGTCAACCTGTATCTATATCTATCAGTTTATTGATGTACTGTATCTATTTACTTATATCTGTCTATATCTATCTATTTACACATACCTGTTTACCTATATATATATATATATATATATATATATATATATATATATATATATATATATATATATATATATATATATATATATATATATATGCATACATACATATACATACATGAATATACAGATATGTATATATGTATATTGTGTGCATGTGTATATATAAATATGTATATATGAATACACAAGCACACACATATACATTTACATATATATTTTTTTTATACATATGTATCTTTTATATATATATATAGAATTACTTATTTACTTATATCATGAGAATCAGAGTCAGAATAAACAGCACACTTCACTCACATGTAAATCAACAGTGTTAACAGAGTGCTGTGTGAAAAAACAAGAAAGATGGCATTCAGTACGAGGTCGACAAGCAGCAACATTAGGGAAGCTCCACTGA